CAACAAAGGAGCAGACGCAGCGTGAGCATGGCAGGCGGCGGCATGAGGACCTGCGCGTGATGCCCTACGGGTCCGCCATCCCCCCACGGAGTCCCCGCTCCGCCTACCCCTCCCTTCCCCACCACCGCTTCACGAGCAGCGCTTCCATGCCCCTTCTGGACCTCGCGGCCCCCCTCAACTCGCCTCGCTCCTCCGCGCCCTCCCCCATTCCTCTCCTCCCCCCATTCCTCTCCTCCCCCCACCTCCTCTCCTCCCTCTTCTGCCGCCTCTGCTGCTGCTCCGGCCTCTTTTCATTCCTCCTCCGCTCAATCTCCCTCTCGTTCCCATGCCTGCCCGTCCCCCCACTCTCTCCACGCCCACCCTTCGCCATCAATCACTGTAGCTCCCAGGCCTGTGCTCGTTCGGTGTTACACTGCACCTGTCCAGCGTCCGAACCTGACGTTCAGCCCCGGCACAAGCCAATCCGTCAGCCCTGGATCAGGCCCTGGCGTCAGCCCCGGGTTCACCCAGCTAAGCTCTCCTGATGCAAAGGGCCAGGCTCGGCCGAGGGGTTCAGGCCCCCTTGACTGCCCCTCACTCAACCTACCCAGTGGGGTTCAGGCCCCCTTGACTACCCCTCACTCAACCTACCCAGTGGGGTTCAGGCCCGCCTTGTCTTCCCCCGCTCACTCAACTTACTTTGGTGGTTGCGGCCCACCACCTTGCCGCTCACGTCACTCACGCCGGGCGGTTCAGACCCCGTTGTCTGCACCTCACAACACCCCAGGGTTTCAGGCACCCATTCTCCTCCCCCTCTCACTCAACTTACCTTGGTGGTTGCAGCCCGCCTCCTTTGCCCCTCACTTCACTCTGACGGTTTCACCACCCTGCTGACCCTCTCACTCAACTTAGCACAGGGAATGTTCAAGCCCTCAACTGAAACCCTCTCTCTTGCCTCACCTTGGGAACGGGTGAACCCACATGATATGGCTTTTTGCATCAGGCAACACGAGGGGCATAATCATTTGCCGCCTATCATGTGCAGTTCTAGGCTCTGCCCTTCCCTCCCACTTTCCCCTCTTGGTGGTTTTGCACCACCTTCATTTCCACTCACACGCCTTGGTTTTCAGCAATCCTCACAATCACTTGCAAGGCTTCAGCCCCTTACTCTTGCACTCTCCCACCTTAGGGGTTCCACCCTGGGGGGCCTAGCCCCCTCTTTCCTCTCCCTCACTCAATGTATAGTAGTGGTTGGTTGCGGACACCCTTCAATCAAACTTCCTTGGGGGGTTTCAGCCCCCCGTTCTCCTCCCCCTCTTACAGTAGCAGTTGCAGATGCCTCTTTTGCCCATCACTATAGTTACCCTTGGGGTTTCAGGCCCCTTTTCTCACTCTAGGGATTTCAGCCCCCTGCCTCACCTCTCACTCAACGTATCCTGGTGATTTCAGACACCTCCCGTTGTCCCTCAATCAAATTACCCAGAGGGGTTCAACGCGCCCCTTTCCCCTCTCCCTCTCACTCAACTTACGCTGGTGGTAGATGCAGCCGCCCTCCGTTGTCCCTCAGCCAACTGCAATCCATTCATCCAGGGGGTTTCAGGCCCCCTTTCCCCTCTCCCTATAACTCAACTTACGCTGGTGGTAGATGCAACCGCCCTCCGTTGGCCCTCAGCCAACTTCAATCTATTCATCCAGGGGGTTTCAGGCCCACTTTCCCCTCTCCCTCTCACTCAACTTACGCTGGTGGTAGATTGAGCTGCCCTCCCTCCCTTGCCATTCTCAAGACTCACCCAGGGGGTCTGAACCCCTCTCCCTTGCCTCACGTTGGGAACGGGTGAACCCACGGACCCACATGACAGGGCTTATTGCATCAGGCAACACGTGGGCCATCATCATTTGCCGCCTCTCATTTGGAGCCCTAGGCTCGACCCTTCCCTCCACTCACCCACCACAGGGGTTTCAGCCCCCCTCACTTCCACTCACTCACCACAGGGGATTGATCGGTGAAGGAGGGCGTCCTAACCACCACTGTAAGTTGAGGGAGAGGGAGAGGCAAACTAGCGGGTGAAGCCTTTTGGGTGAGGTGATCGATCGGCAAAGGAGGGAGACTGCAGACATCTCTGTGAGTTGAGTGGGGGGAGAGGAGGGGCAAAGGAGGGCGACAACAAGTGCCACTGTAAGTTGAGTGAGGGGGAGAGGTGGGGGCTGAATCCAGCAGTGTAACTTGAGTGAGGGGAGAGGAGAACAGCGGCGACTGCAAAGACCTCTGTAAGTTGAGATCGGGGGGGAGGAGGGGGCTGAGAGCAACAGTGTCAGTCAAAGGATGGTAGGGCCAAGGAGGGCCGAGGAGGGCCAAGGAGGGCCTCTGCAATCACCACTGTAAGTTGGTTGAGGGAGAGGGGAAAGGGGGCCTGAAACCTTGTGGGACTTTGAGTGAGAGGGGGCTAAAACCGGCAGTGTAGGTCAAAAGAAGGGCACAGGAGGGCGTCTCACTCCAACCATCGCTGTAAGTTGAGTGAGAGTGAGAGGAAGGGGCTGGAACCAGCAGTGTATGTTGAGTGAGAGTGAGAGGAGGGGGCTGGAAGTGGCATTGTTGTTTAATGGATGGGCAAAGGAGGGCGTCTTCAATCACCAAACTGTAAGTTGAGTGAGAGGACGAGGAAGGGGGGGCTGAAATCCCCTGGCTCAATCGCCTTTCCTTAGGAGCTTCAGCCGCCCTCCCGTGTCTTGTCTCATGCTACCTTGGAGAGCTGTCACCCCCGTCTTGTGCCACTCCCTCTCCGTACTCTCTCCTCTGCCCCTACCTTTCCTTAGGGGGTTGATTTTCTTAGGGTTTCGCCCTGGGGGTTGAAGCCCCCAAAAGCCCAGGAGAGCGTGCGCTCGAGCCAAGGGGTCTGAAACTCCCTGGGTTTTGTGAGGGATAGAGGTGAAGGGGTTGGAACCCCTGAGGAGGGTGAGCGCAAGAGTAAGGGGCTTAAGCCCTTCGAGTGAGTGAGAGGGTGGCTGAGAACTGATGGGAAGGTGAGTGGAAGGGGAGGGGGTTCAAAAACCCCCGAGAGGGGAAAGAGGAAGGGAAGGGTAGAGCCTAGAACTCCACATGATGAGCGGCAAATGATGATGCCCAACGTGTTGCCTGATGCAATAAGCCATATCATGTGGGTTCACCAGTTCCAAAGGTGAGCGAAGGGAGAGGGGTTCAGACCCCGAGGGGTCAACTGGTATGGCGGTGGAGATGATAAAATGGGGCCCTGCACTACAACCCCCTGGGTGTGTTACGAGGGGCAAGGGAGGGCGGCTGAATCCACTGCCCCGGTAAGTTGAGCGATTAGGAAAGGAGAAAGGAGGTGAAACCCCCTGGGTGCGCGGATTGAAGTTGGTTGAGGGCGGCCGCATCTACCACCCCAGGGCCTGTAACCCCTGGGTGTTGTGAGGGGCACACAATGGGGGCTGAACCCCCCTGGGTAAGTGAAGTGAAGGGCAGAGAAGGCGGGCTGCAACCACCCAAGTAAGTTGAGAGAGTGGGGGAGGATAAGGGGGCCTGACACCCCCGTATTGTCTGCACCTGGGAGCAGGTGTTGCAGACAATACGGCCTGAACCCCCCTTGGTGAGTAAAGTGAGGGGGAGAGAAGACGGGCTGAAAAGCAACCACCAAAGTAAGTTGTTCGAGCAGGGGAAGACCAAGGGGGGCTTGAAAAAACCCCTGGGAAAGTTGAGTGAGGTGCAGTCAATGGTGGCTGTGCCCCCCTGAGTAAGTTGAGGGGTGGTGAAAGTCCCAGAGTAAGTTGAATGAGGGGGAGGGGAGAGAGGGAGCCTGAAATCCCCTGTGTAAGTAGAGTGAGGTGCACTGGAGGAGCAAAGGAGGGGCGGTCAAAACCCCACACTAAGGTGAGGACAAGGCACTTGGGACCCAAGTTGTAAGGTGAGGTATGGGAGGGGGTTTCAGAACCCAAGTGATAGGGTGATGACAGGGAGGGGGAGGTGGGGGGTTCAGACCCCAGGTTACAGGGTGGGGCATGCGAGGGGGGTTCAGACCCCAAGTTACAGGGTGAGGCAAGGGAGGGGGGTTCAGACCCCAAGTTACAGGGTGAGGCAAGGGAGGGGGGTTCAGACCCCAATTTACAGGGTAGGGCATGCGAGGGGGTTTCAGACCCCAAGTGATAGGCTCCTGCAACAATGTGTGTAAGTTGAGTACGAGGGGGAGGGGAGAAAGGCGGCGCGAAACCTCCAGGGTGAGTTGAGTGTGTTGCGAAGGAGGGGCGAAAGGAGGGGTGTCTGCAATCACCAGTGTAAGCTGAGAGAGAACGGAAGGGGAGAACGGGGGCCTGAAACCTCCAGGGTGAGGTGAACGAGGGGAAAACGAGGGGTGGAAGAAGGCGGGTTGCGACCACCACAGGTGAGGGGGGCAAGGGAGGAGAAAGGGGAGCTCAAACCCCCCGGGTGGTGATTCCCTTAGGTGGAAGTCCCAGAGTTCCCCTGGGTAAGTTGAGATAGAGGCAGACAATGTGGCTGAACCCTCCTGGGTAAGTTGCGTGAGGGGTAGTGAAAGTTTCAGAGTATGTTATATCCTCACCACACGTCACCGCCAGTCACCGCCCGTCACCGCCTGCCACCGCCCGCACTGCCTGTCACTGCCCGCTAAGGGGGCTGGCGTCCAGCTAAGGGGGCTGGAGTCCAGCTAAGGGGGCTGGCGTACAGCTAAGGGGGCTGGCGTCCAGCTAAGGGGGCTGGCGTCCAGCTAAGGGGGCTGGTGTCCAGCTAAGGGGGCTGGCGTACAGCTAAGGGGGCTGGCGTACAGCGAAGGGGGCTGGCATCCAGCTAAGGGGGATGGCGTCCAGCTAAGGGGGCTGGCGTCCAGCTAAGGGGGCTGGTGTCCAGCTAAGGGGGCTGGCGTACAGCTAAGGGGGCTGGCGTCCAGCTAAGGGGGCTGGTGTCCAGCTAAGGGGGCTGGTGTCCAGCTAAGGGGGCTAGCGTTGAAATATGCATTTAAAGAATGTTTTCACAACAACGCAATCTTGTATAATGCCACATCTTATCATTACCACAAGCAATGGCCAACACATGCCTGCGAACAGGACTAGCAACAAGAGACAACCAGGATAGTAAACTTTTACTGGCATCCTTCGTTTGAGGGTGCACATCAGCAAGCAAGGTGGACCCGATTTGTGGCATGGGCACCAAGAAACGACCAGGATACTAAAACTTGCCAACCATTTTTAGAAGCAAATGGCTATGCTACATTTGAGGCTAACCGTTTTAATTGGAGTTGAAAGAGTCGCGGCTCTCGGAACCGTGAGAAGGTCAGGGCGAGCAGGAGGGATGCACGAGCGAGGCGTGCTGCTGCTGCTGCTTGAGCTTCGCCAAGTGCCTCAAGGTGGCGGGGGACGGCAGGTCAGTGGCGGAGGCCGAGCGGGGGGGCGGGGGGAAGGGCCACTTGGGTGAGATGGGGGCATCGGGGGAGTCCTTGGCTGCGCCGCCACTTGCAGCACTGCTGCTGCTGCTGCTACTGCTGCTGCTGCTGTTGAGCGAGTGGTAGGAGGGGAGGTTGACGAGGGAGTGGGAGGGGGGGATGTGGGAGAAGCGGCGCACGAGCACCACGGAGCTGAAGGACACGCGCCGGGTGTGGGCTGTGGTGGCTGCGTCCGGGAGAGGCACAGACGAAGCTGCGCAGGCGGTGTGATATGAGGGGCGGTTGGAGGGCGCGGAGTGGCAGCGGCGCAGGGGAGGGGGAGGCGCAGAGCCAGTGGCGCTGGGAGTGGAGGTGGTGGCAGGAGAGGGTGCAGCGACGCTGAGGGGAATGCTGCTGCAGGATTGCACGGACTTGCATTTCGAGCCTCCAGAACCGGCCAGACCTGGAGGTCCGGCTGGCACTTGAGCCTGTGAGAGGGCCTTGGTGGGCACGGAGGAGCAGCGCGGCACGTGGCGCGGCCTGGGCCGTGTGGTAGAGGGCGAAGGAATGATCCGGGAAGAAGCAGAGAGGGGAGGAAGCTTGGGGGGGGGCGTGGAGAGGGGGAGCGGATGAGGTGGGGAAGACGGGTGGGGGGAGTGCAGGCGGGCGGAAGACCAGGCCAGGGGAGATGGTGTCGGAGGGGAGAAGAGGAAATTGCCTCCTGCCTTTGCTGATGGTGCTTTTACTGTTCCCACCACCGCTGGTTGGGGTACGGCCGGAGAGCTTGGTGAATGTGACAGTGGCGGGGGAACGGCCTCTGCGAGAGGCACGTCGTCGTCGTCGGCGTCATCTGCGCTGATGAGCGTGAAGATGGGCGGCCGCCGCCACACGGGTTTCACCTGCGCCTGCTGCTGCTTGCCGCTGCTGCTGAGGCTGCTGCTGCTGCTGCTGCTGTCGCGCGGCTGCTGCTGGTGGTTCGGGGAGGGAGGCGGCAGCATGCCACGTGTTCGTGGGCTCGAGCTCGCCAGGCTGTTGCTGCCGCAGCTGATCGTTACATGGTAACCCGCGCTGCTACTACTGTTACTGCTGCCACCGCCACCAGCGGCGTGGCTGTTGCTGCGTCTGTGGCCCACAATGGGCTGCCCCTGCCGGGGGCTGCACCCGCTGCTGCTGCTGTACCCGCCTGCGTTGGCGCATCGCCGCACCACTGTCGGCCCGCCTCCTGATACGCGATTCGTTGGCGACACCACTTGCGGCGGTTGCTGCTGCTGCAGCTGGCGCGCGTCGCCCGCATTCGACGGCAGGGAGGCGCCTCGGAGAGAGCAAGAGCTGGCTGGTTTCGGCGAGGCAGCGCCTCTCACGCCCATCACGCCCATCGCGTCCATTGCGCAAATTGCGCCCACCCCTCCCACCCCTCCCACCGCAGCTGCGGGCGACGCTGGTCGGCCAGCCTGCTGCCATTCCGCCAGCGACGCCATCGACGAGCTCCGCCGAGCCCCCGCGCGCGCGGCCGCCGCTCCCCGCGCAAAATCCGCCGCCGCAGCCCCACAGCCGCCGGGAGGGCTTTCCGCGCTCGACGATGGTGCTCCCGCCGCGCGAACCGCCGGCGCGGGACTAGCGGCAGCTGACGCAGTCGGAGAGTGCGCGCCCCCCGCTCTCGCCGGGGCAGGGGATCCTACCCCCGCGATCTTCCGCGGTACCGCGCGGACGGTGGGGCTGAGCGCGCCGAAGTTGGCGCAAGTGGAATGGCGGCGCGCGTGGCCGGGAGAGCGCAGCGGGGACGCGCATGAGGGGGAGAGGGCAGGGGCAGGGGCAGGCACCGCGCAGAGCTCGGGGGACGAAGCGGAAACCGCGCGCGGAAAAGTGGCCCCGCCAGCGCCGTTACTGGGGCTGCCAGCGCCGTTACTAGGGATGACTGCGCCAGCTGACGCTGAATCAGCTGTCGCGCGCACCGGCGCAGTGCGGTGTCCGCCAATGGGCCTAGCCTCCGGTCTAAGACCCCCCCAGCCCTTCCCGCCGCCGCTGCCGCTACCGCCGCTGCCAGCGTCGTAGCTGCTGCCCCTCACGATGTGGCTCTGCCCCTTGCGCAACACCCGCTCGCCGCCGTCCCACTCGTCGTCTCCGCTCGCCCTTGCCGCGCAGCTCGCACTCCGCCGAACAGCGCGCGTTCGTTGCCCCATGCTGCCGCCCGTGTTCCCCGCGCCGGCAACAGCTCCGCCGCTTCCGCCAGTGCCGCGCGCCGTCGACTCCGAGTCGCAGCCGTCCCTCGCCGCATGCCGCGGCCCCGAAGAGGCGGCGACGGCACGCCGCGGCAACGCGGAAGTGCTTAGGAGTCGCGCGCTGCCCTCGCGCTGACCCTGCGACGCGCCACCTGCGTGTGCGACGCCTGCGCCCGTCGCAACGACACCCCCCCGCGACGGCGCACCAGAGACGCTGAGCGACCGAGCGTACATCTGTCGCGCGCCTGCGCTGGCCCCCTGCGCGCGGACACTTCCGCCGCCCCCAATCGCCTCCATAGAGCTTCCCGCGGTGGCTGCACCAGCTTCATTGCTCCGCAGATGCGCACCGCGTGCGGGGCTTGCGCCGCCAGCACCCGCAGACACCGCTCCGGAGTTGCTTGCGCTCCGCGAGAGGCGCGCGCCGGCTGCGCTTCCGCCCGAGGGGTGGAGAGAGTTGAGGTGGAGCGACGCGGAGGGCTGCCAGCTGCGGCGCTGCCACAGCTGCGACAGATGCGGCGGCTGATGCGGCGGGCTCGACCCCCCGCAGCTTTCGGGGTCCGAACCCGGCTGCAGCGAGTCTGCGACGCCGGCGACGCTGTCGGCGACTGGTGCGACCATTTGATGCGACAGCGATCGCGCGTGTCGCGCTAACGGGCGGCCGCACTGCGCGGATCTGGAGAGCGGGAAGCTGTGGCGGGGGGGGAGAAACAACGACCAGTGGTCACGAAGTGTTCTAGGAACCATGCCGTCTCAAAAGCCATCTCGATTCACGAAGCACAGCGACTCGAGCGCGCTCAGACAATGCAGCGCGGGAAGGCACGAGAAAGCCGGCGGCATGCGAAACCCAGCGGCGGGCTTGATCACGCGGATGAGGGGCGCGGCGATGGAATGGAAATGAATCCCCGCGAAGCGCGCTCACCTTGGTCCGCCAATGTCCGCGCGCGACGGCTCCACAAGGGACATGCCGCGGTCGACGCCGTCGCGATCTCGACAGCTGGGATGTCGCGGAAGGAGTGGATAGAATGGCGGAATCGCCCGATCGAGCGGAAGGTTGTGCTGACGGAAAGGGCGCAACGGACGCGGTGCTGCGAGGTGCGGTGGTATTTACAAGATAGCCAAATATGGACAGACGGCGACTCCAACGCTCCCGAGTAGAAATGATATAGCGTCCCGATTAGCAGCAGCTGTGACGCAACGATAGCACCAGGGCTACGAGAAGATACGGACGAGAAGGACGAGAAGGGCGGGTTTACCAAGTAGCGCGACTCCGGTTACGGCTACGGTAGTATCTTCGCAGATTGTGTCGGTCGGCGTATGCGAGTGGTGTTACAATTCCCGCGGGGGTCTTGGAGGAAAGACATGGAGGAATGAGTGACGCGCAAAGGACGGAGAGAACGAGTGGAGCTCCTCGGGTCGCAAGGACGGTCACTGCGAACTAACACGATCTACGAGTGGAGATTACCCTTTGGTCTTGCAGCGGAAATGAGGATCGAACTTATTTTGCAATGACAAGTCAAAACAAAGGGGCTTGACCAGGGCCAGAAATCGGTTCGGGTCGGGAGCGAATGGAACGTCGTGGTGTGCTGGGACGCGACTGCTGCAGATCAGAGCAGAGGAGAGCAGATACAGTATCGCTGGTCTAGTAGGGAGGACGTTCACTGTGGTGAATATTGAATCGTGATGTGAGGCGAGGAGGTGGAAGAAGGCGCGTGGAACAGAAGGCAATGAGTGGGCGTGGGAGGGATTTTCGCATTCAGGCGACCTTGGGCCGACCTGCTCGTGCAGCGAAACAAGCGCAGATGTGCTTACCAATAAGCTGGCATTTGCCATTCCCTCGCCCTTTCGCAGGGAAGTCGTCGAAAAATGCTCATAGGGTAACGGATTTCGTCAATGGCAGCACAGTAACGCGAACTGCCACATCGATCAGCGCGACTCGCATGTTGGCGGGAAGGAAAGAATGCTTTCTGCCTGCCACTGTCGGAGAAGAGGATGAAGGGGTCGACGGCGTGGCTGTGTTCCTCAACCCACTTGGACGCAAGCTATTGAAAAGCTCCACACAACTGGGCGGACGGGACGGGCGGGAGGTTGGGCGGGCAATTCGGTGTGTAAAAGTAAATTCGGGCACATGGAGAAAATGGCCGTGACATTTGTCTGGTGTATGTGTGAAGAGATATCTGTGCATTTAAAGCGAGGGTCTCAAGAAGCAGAAAACCAAATCCGAAGGTTTTGGTTTCGGGGGGTCTCGAAAATTGCGAGGTGTGGTGAGGGGTGCTGGTTGGGCGCTGTTACTGTTTCGCTAATTTCGTCAACCCAAAACCAAACCTTTTGGATTTGGTTTCGCGCTTATTGAGACCCTCGCTTTAAAATACACGACGACAAAAGGCTAATTTCGATTTGATGGACCTAATTTCAGCACGTTTTCAACTGAAAGGCCTGCACGTGTTGTGATGGTCACCATAAAAACGAGGGACTGCGGTTGGCTGGTTTGTTGGTGGAGGCAACTGGCGAGGCGACTGACCACGCGACGCGAGGGGCAGTCGTCAAGGCTAAATACAAACGACTAAGCGCACGGTAAAAGCAGCGAGGGTTCTGTACAGGGCTTATTTTTACGGGTAGTTGCCCAAAGTTTGACAAAATAACGGGTGGTTTTTTTCTACCCTCGGAATCTGACATGTTCATATATCCAGATTCTGACGGATGTTTTCTGACTTGTACCCGTGAAGTGACGTGTAAGGTTTGCCAAGAACACTTATTTGACGGGTACGATTTTCGAAAACCCGAAATCTAGCACTGGCGAACCCGCCCCCCCCCCCCCCACCTCTACCCCTCTGAGGGAGAGGAAGATCTGCTGACGTGTAGGCAAAAACCCTAAGGTAAGCCCGGGTTCTGTAACACAGATTCAGGCAGTCGATGTACTCCACTTTAACATGCTATGCCATCTAGTTAGGCTTTTACGATTCTTGTGTTTCCTGGCTATAATGGATAGCGTTACCAATGTACAGCTGCAGAAAGTTTGTCTTGCTCCAAGTTGTGGAGTTTCTACTTGAAGAGTGATGATTCGGTGGATATAGTTAAATCCCGCGGCCCAAATTGCAATGCGCGACCTTCAAACGCACTGCATTTGAAAGTCGCGTTTTCGTGGGAATAGATGGGGGTAACTGTTAACGTAGAAACGAATAATTACTAGAGGTGGAAACCTAGAACAAATACTAGTTGGTTGTACTCACTAGAAGCATACCTCAGTCTAGCCTATAACTTCTACATAGATAATATGTATAAGTTGACACACCCCCTAGGCTAGACAAGGGGTGAAACTAAACAAGAAGCAAACAGCTCAGGGCGGCACTACTAGTCCAACCACTGAGGCAGGGGTCTGGAGACCAGTCAGCAAGAATACAACCAAAACTGAAGCAAGCCAGGGTGGCACTACTAGTCCAGCCACTGGAGGTAAGGCCACAAGGCCAGTCTGACAAGCATATATAATAGAGAGTACACAATCAGGATCCTAACAGGGGAGCAGCTATAGGAACAAGACCAAGCTGTACACAGTGCCGCTGATGATCTTTAGGCGCAAGCGCCTTAGTAAAGATATCAGCTGTGTTGGCACCTGAGGCCAAGTGAACTACGCGGGCCTGGCGGCGCTGCTGTAGCTCGCGCAGGAGGAAGTACCGCAGCTGGATATGCTTCGCTCTGCCCTCAAGCCGAGGCTCCTGACACAGGAGTATCATGGCCCTGTTGTCAGCGTACAGGACCGGGGCAGAGCTAGGCCGCTCACCTAAGTCTGTGAGCAAGAAGGTCAGCCAGCGGAGCTCCTGTGCCGCCATGGCACCAGCGTAGATCTCAGCCTCACAGCTAGACTGAGCCACAGACGACGAGCGAGTGGATCTCCAAGAGATAGCACCCGAACCAAGGCTGAAACAGTAGCCCTGCGACGACCTGAGCGTCTCAGCGTCGTCTGCCCAAGAAGCGTCTGTGTGCCCAGTAAGGACCACTGGCCTGCGTCCTCCTAGCACTAACCCCATGCCTGATGTACTAGCAAGATAACGCAAAACCCTCTTAGCGGCAGACCAGTGCTGAGGTCGGTGTCTGCCTGTAGCCACAAAGCGAGCCAGGATGCTGAGAGGGTATGCGAGATCTGGGCGAGTGCAAGTCATCAGGTACATGAGGCAACCCACCAGCTCTGCGTAGGGGCCACTGGGCTCTACTGGCTCCTCAGGAACGGGAGCAGAGAGCCCATGGTCTACGGGTAGAGGTGTGGGCTGTGCGGAGGAGAACTGAAGACCGAACCTCTGAAGGACCTGACGCACCAAGTGTGACTGGGTCAGAGTGATGGTGCGTGCTGCTCTGTCCCTAGAGATCTGCAGGCCAAGATAGCGACGCAGCTCTCCAAGGTCAGTGCAGGTGTGTCTCTTCAGCAGCTCAGCCTTCACAGAGGCCAGTGCGTCCCTGTCAGGAGTAGCGAAGACCAGGTCGTCTACGTAGACAAGGATGTAGAACGGAGTCTGGCCGGAACGCACAAACAGTGAAGGGTCAGCAGAGGACGGAAAGAACTGCAGGTCTGCTAACGTGGCACGTAGCGTGTCGTGCCACTCGCGGGGAGCCTGACGCAGGCCGTAGACCGGGCGCCTGAGAAGCCACTGGGTCCCAGGAGGGAAGGTACCAGTGAAGCCCTGTGGTCGGCGCAGGTAGACCTGCTCGTGTAGGCTGCCCTGAAGAAAGGCAGTAGAGAAGTCGAGAGAGTGAAGCTCGTAGTCACGCTGTGCTGCTACGTGTAGCAGCGCCCGAAGAGTGGTCATCTTCGGGGTCGGGGCGAAGGTCTGGAAGAAGTCAACCCCCTCGCGCTGACTGAAACCTCTGGCCACGTAGCGCGCCTTGAAGACAGGCGGCTCTCCAGGGGGGCGCTTCACCTTGAAGAGCCACCGACCATCGACTACGTTCACCCCAGGCGGGGGAACTGCGTCGACGTAAGTGCCGGTGGATCTCCAAGATGCCATCTCCTGCTCCATGGCAGCTATCCACTGAGAGGCCCAAGGTCCCGAGGTGGCCTCAGCGTAGGTGCGAGGGGTCGGGATGTCGAAGGCGTCTGGGTCACCCTCAGGGACTAACAGCATGGAGCAGAGATGGGGAGCAGCCTCGGAAAGGAAAGCGAGCTCGTACTGCCTGTCCTCTAGGACGTCACTGCCAAGGGCAGGAGCACCCCCGACGGACAGAGGACGGGCAGGGTCAGAGACCAGAGCGGTAGCGTAGTCAAGGCGGCGGGTAGAAGCGAAGTCAGCGACAGCAGCGACAAGCGCGTCAAGGCGCGAGACAGGAACAGCAGGGTCGGTAACAAGAGAGGCAAGGACCCGAGGGACAAGGGGACGAGCAGCACGGAGGTAGTCAGAGAACGGAGGAGGTGCAACAGCAAGGGACGAGGGAGGAGGGGACGGGAGGAGGGGAGGACGAGACGAGTGGGAACGGAGCAACATAGGGTGGGTGGGCAGGACAGGAGAGACGGGACGAGCACGGGAGGGACGGCGAGCCCAAACGTGAGACGGAGGGGTAGGGTCAGGGGACAGCGGAGGAGACACAGGAGGGGAACGAGGAGGAAGACGGGCCGGAGACGAGTCTGGCGGCGGGAACACAGGACCGTAGACAGGGAGGTCAGGAGGCGGTGGGGGAGACACCGGCGCGCGGTCCGGGGAGGGAAGGCCGAGCAGGCGGAGAGCGGAAACCGGCGGCGACGGCTGCTGTGGCGGCGACGACGGCTGGGCCGGAACTCTCGGACCAGCAGAGGCAGAACGACCGTCGGGAGAACACTCAACAGCAGCACCCCCAGAACCAACACCCCAAGAGCGAGAACCCCCTCCAACACCAGCAGCACCCCCAGAAGCCGCAGGACGAACACCCTCCTCCACACCAGCACCCCCAGGGGCCGAGAGCAGCGGCGGCAGTGGCGGCGACAGCGGCGACGGCTGCGGCGGCGACGGCGACGGCGGCGGCAGCGGGGTCGGCGACTGCGACAGTGGGGGCGGAGGCACTGGGGAAGGGGGACGCGGCAAGGACGGACCGGGGGTACCACCAGAGTCAGCAGACTCCTCAACGGGGACAACCGACGGGAGGGGAGTGACGTGGGAGACACCAGACGGGGCAGGACGAGGCGGGAGAGGGGCAGGGGCTACCGGGGGAGAGGGAGCAAGGAAAAGGGGGGGGGCAACTGGGAGACCTCGGTGAGGGAAGCGGCGGTAGAAGGAGACGGACTCGTCAAAGGTGACGTCACGAGAGTGGAGGAAGCGGTGAGACGGCGGGTGGTAGAAAAGCCAGTCAGACGAGTCCAGGGGGAAACCGAGGAAGACACAGGGGACAGTGCGGGCAGTGAGCTTGTCCGTGCCAGAGGCACGAACGTGAGCAAGGCAGCCCCAGACGTGGAACGCAGACGCGTCACCGGGGGACCCGGTCCAAAGGAGGGTCGGCGAAACCTGCGGCCGCTGGGAGCGTGGCCACAGGTTAAGCTGGTGAGCCGCGTAGCGAACAGCGAACGGCCACAGAAAATGGGGGGCATCGGCATGGATCATGGAGGTACGGGCGACCTCCATGACCAAGCCGATGCGGCGCTCAGCAACCCCATTCT